AAAAATCTCAATAATTTTTTCTATTCTAAAATATTCACAAAGATTTGCTTGAAAAACTGTCAATTGTCAGATGATTTTCTATTGACATTTACAAAGTTTTGGTGTGATTTTACTTCACTAAAAAAGCTTGACATTAGCTACAATACCTTTTCGATGGAAACGAGTATAAGTTTCTTAACGAAGGTAAAGAATGGGAAATTTCAAAATATTTCTCATTTATATATGCATCATTGTAATTGGGATAATGATGATATATTTGAATATTTGAATATAATCTTACAAATAGATTTTTTAAAAGTTTTCAATTCAAAATCGAAACAACAAAGTTTAGAGAAAAATGAAGATGAAAATGTTATAATTGATATCAATCATCAAACATTTAACTTAATACAAATGAAAGAATTGAGTAGAATTTTAAAACATATCTACAGCATAAAGACACTGGATATTGGAATTTTATCATCATATGAAATGGAAATTGTTTTATATCTATTGAAGTTAAAAAACATTTCACTACATGGATTTATTTTTCAAAAGTCTAATTTTTTATCAAAGTACAATTGTTGTAATCTGTTGATAAATCAATTAACTTTTAATCATGGTAATATTCAACAATTGGATCTAAGTAATAGTTTAGTTGGAGATCATAATGGAACAATTCTGTTACAATGTATTAATGAGAACTGTATGAATATTGTTGTATTGAACTTTGCTAATTGTGGATTTACATATCAAATTGGCAATATTTTTGGACTGACTATTGGTAAACAACATCAACTACAGGAGCTATGTTTAAATGATAATTGCTTGGAAAATGATGTAGGAATTTGTATATTTGAAAACATTAAAAACAACTGTCATAGTATTATTATATTAAATATATCAAATTGTGGATTTACATCAAAAATTGGCAATAGTATTGGTGATGCAATTGGACAGCAAAAAAGACTGAAAGAACTAGACTTTTCTAACAATCTATTGGATGATGATATTGGAAAAAATATCTTTTGGAATATAGAAAAAAGGTGTAAAAATATTTTACACTTAAATTTTGAATCTTGTGGATTCACACATGAAATTGGAAATATAGTTGGAAATGCAATTGGTCAACAAAAGAACATAATCAAAATTAATGGAGCAGATAATCTTTTGGGAGATAAAGTTGGAAAAAATATTTTTTATAATATAAAACAAAACTGTAATGAACTTGCCACTCTTAAATTTTATAATTGTGACTTTACTTCAAAAATTGGAAATAATATTGGAGATGCAATTGGACAACAAAAAAATATTCAATTAATTCACCTTAATGAAAACCATTTTGGAGATGATGTTGGAAAAAATATATTTTTAAATATCAGCAATCATTGTTACAATATCCTTTCTCTGAACTTATCAACTTGTAAATTTACAGATCAAATTGGCAATGTTTTAATTATTGCAATTTCACAACAAACCAACCTTCAAGAATTGCTTTTATCTGAAAATCAATTTGGTGATACATTAATTGAGAATTTATTAAAGAACATAAGAATAAATTGTAACAATATATCAGAACTTAATGTGGGAGATTGTGGATTTTCTTCAGCAATTGCAAATAGTGTTATAGAATTCTTTTGTGGACAGAATTTTTTAGAAGAATTATGTATTTATACAATTATCTATGACTTTCATATCTCAAAAGAGATGCTTGTGAATATTGAAAAAAAATGTAAACATCTTTCTACCATATGTTTTGGAAAATGCGAATTTACTTCAGAGGAAGCAGGTATCATTTCTGATATAATTATTAATCAACAAGACAAACTCAAACAGCTGTATCTCTGGGACAATGAGTTTGGTGATGAAGGTTGGAAATATATTTTATCACACTTGGAGAACAATTGCCCAAACATATCAATTTTAGATCTAGGTAATTGCGGAATTACTTCAGACATTGGAAATATATTAGGTGTTATGATTGGCAGAAAGAAATATCTCAAAGAATTGAATCTTTGGAATAATAATATTGAAGATGTTGTTGGAAAAATTTTGTTTTATAATATAAAAGAAACACATCATAATTTAACATTTATAAATATTGAAAATTGTGGAATTACACCAAATATTGGAAATATTTTAGGTGATGCAATTGGTCAACAGTATTATCTGCAAAGGTTAGATATTTCTAATAATTATTTAGGAGACTATGTGGGAAAAAATATTTTTCAAAATATTAGTAATAATTGTCGAAATATTCGTAAAATCAATTTTAATGATTGTGGATTTACATCAGAAATTGGTGATATTCTTGGTGATGCAATTGGTCAACAAAAATATCTTAATGAATTATATATATTCAACAATAATCTTGGTAATTTTGTTGGTAGACATTTATTCTATAACATAAAGAAATATTGTCAATATATTAAATGTTTAGATCTGAGCAATTGTAGATTTACTTCACAAATTGGAAATACTTTAGGTGATGCAATAGGCCAACAAACAAATCTTAGATCTCTTTTTTTATCTGAAAATAATTTAAGAGACTCTATTGGAGCAAATATATTTTCAAACATTAAATTGAAATGTAAAAAAATTTCAGAACTTGAATATTATAATTGTGGATTTACATCAAAAATTGATGATATTATAGGCAATGCAATTGGTCAATTAACTTATCTTAAAAGTATTTCTTCTTCTGATAATGCACTTACAGATTATGTTGGTTCTTGTATTTTTCAATCAATTCAACAAATTTGTTTTCAAATAGTTTTTCTTAAATTTGAAAATTGTAAATTTACTTCAAAAATTGGATATTCTTTTTCTAATGGTATTGGTCAACAAACTAATTTGGATGTATTACATATCTCTGGAAATAGGTTTGGGGATGACATTGGTAAAAATCTATTTGAAAAACTATATCAAAATTGTCAAAAATTAACTTATTTGGCTATTAAAAATTGTGGATTTACTTGTAAAATTGGCAATTTTCTTGGAAATATGATTGGCAGACAAAAAGATTTGAAAGTGTTAGATATTAGTGATAATAATTTTGGTGATGATATTGGGAGAGTGATATTTAAAAATTTAAATGAAAATTGTACAAAACTATGCAATTTGAAATGTTCAAATTGTGGATTTACTTATAGAATTGGAAATATTATTGGTGATGCTATTGGTAAACAATGTTCCCTTATTACCTTAAGTATAAAAGATAATAAATTAGGTGATATAGTTGGAAAGAACATCTTTTCAAGTATGATATCAGAGTGTTTGAATTTAGAATTTTTAAATGTTCGTAATTGTGACTTCACTTCAAATTTGAGTTATATAATTGGTGATGCAATTGCTAATTTTACTGAGTTAAAAGTACTCTCACTCTGCAATAATCAACTATGTAGTGTCATTGGTAGATATATTTTTAAAAATATTCAAAAAAATTGTAGAAAAATCGAAATAATCGATTGCAATAATTGCGGATTTACATCTGAAATTGGAAATGTTGTTGGTTATGCAATAGCTGAACAAGCTAATTTGAGAATGTTGTCATTATATAATAATTCACTTGGAAATGATGTTGGGAGATGTATTTTTGAAAATGTTGAAATGAATTGTTGTATGATAGAAAATTTTAATTTTAGGAATTGTAATTTTACATCTGAAATTGGTAGAGTTATTGGCAATGCTATTAGTAAACAAGGAAACAATCTCAAAGATTTATGTCTAGCTAATAATCCATTGGGAGATAATCTCGGAAAATATATCTTTGAAAGGATTAAAGAAAGTTGCTGTAATATTTTAAATTTAAATATTGCGAATTGTGGATTAACCTCCAATATTGGTGATATTGTGGGTAAATTCATTGGTCAACAAACCCGAATTAGAAGACTTTCATTCTCTCAAAATTCTTTTGGAAATAATGTTGGAAAAAGTATTTTTGAAAATTTAAAAAGAAAATGTAATAGACTTACATTTCTTCACTTTGAAAGTTGTAATTTTACATTTCATATTGGAGATTGTATTGGAGATGCTGTTGGAAAACAAAGAGGTTTGGAATATTTATATTTCTCTGAAAACTTTTTACAAGATGATGTTGGAAAAAATATATTTGAAAATATTAAAGAAAATTGCTTTAATATTTCTGTACTTAAATTTGCTAATTGTGGATTTTCTCCGTTAATTGGAAATATTTTAGGAGATGCAATAGGCCAACAGAGAGCCCTTAAAGAATTAATATTTTCTAATAACCAAATAGGAGATGATATTGGTTTTAATCTATTTTATAATCTACAACAAAACTGTTCTTGTATAGTAATTCTTAAATTTGAAAGTTGTGGTTTTACTCCTAATATTGGAAATGTAATTGGTGAGATGATTGGGCAGCAAAGTCAACTTAAAATATTATGTTTCAGCAATAATCAATTTGGAAATGATGTTGGAAAAGGTATCTTTCAAAACATAAGAAAGAATTGCCATCAAATCTCTGAATTATTTTGCAATCTTTGTGGAATTAACTCCAAGATTGGAAATTCCATTTATGATGCAATATTTTTCCAAAAAAAATTAAAAACCTTTCACATTTGGAATATTCAATTTAGACAAATGGATATCAGTTGTCTTTCTGAAAACATTAAAATTAGAAATAGACTTGGATAATCAGAAACAATATTTATGTAGAATTTCTGTCAACTAAAAAAGTTGCCAAACTAGTTCTCTCTGTCTCCCCTTTGAAAATTGTTTGCTAATCTAAAAAATATTAGTATTAAGCTAAATTAATCCCTGACTGACTGACTAGATGTCTCCTCTTTTTTTCATTTTTTGATTGATTTAATAAAATTTTAATAAAAATAGTTTAATTGATGTATGAAAAAGGACAGCGCATACTACAAATAATGAACTTGGAATTGTATTTGTACAGTTTGTGGTTTTGTAGAATATTTTCAGTAAATACTTAAAGAAATTAAAAAAAGTATTACAGAGGGTGTTGTCTACAGTTTAATCTATAGCACATATTTCTAATAAATATTATCTTATTGCATTTTGCATAGTTCATTCTAATGGCTACAGCTGCAGAAAGAAACTTTTGTTTCCATATGTGTCAAAAGCAATAGTTTTACTTGGTCATAGCAAGAGAAAAAAACTGGTACTTGTACATCACATATTTATTAAATATGTTTTTAATACTGTTGAATTTAGACTTCACATATTTAATAATATAAAGCAGAATACGGGACCAGTCGAAAACGGCCATTTATGAAATATTTAAAAGTTTGATTTCAAACTATTTATTTTTCATTTTAACAATTAACTCAGCCTCCTTCTTCAGTTCATGAATAATCATGTAAAACGATAAGTTATGTAATCCTTTAAAATCATTGTTAGTTCTAATTGTTTGGTTAAAAATTGACAGTCTCTGGATGCCAAAAGCTAATCTGTATGCAATAATTTCCTTTTTCTTTATTCAATGTACATAGTGTGTATATGAATATAACTGACTTGTATTTTCCTACATACTACTTGTGTGAAATGAAATACACAACCTTGGAACTCAATCATGGAATGTGTTTTTATTAGTGCCATCTATCTTTCCTTATTGCTATATTGGATGATAAATATTCATATGCTTCATAAATGTGTTCTTTGCTCCCCTTTATATATGAATTTCCTTGTTGGTGAATTCTTGCAGGACATCTCTGCTTTTTGGTTCTTTTACAGCGCTCTTTTAGAAGTTTTAGCCTTAAGTGTGAATGAAAAGCCATTGTTAAGCAGGATATCCTTTCCCAGTTAACTTCCATTCCTAATTATTTGAAAGTTGTCATCCATAATTTCTTGGAAAGTGTCAATAACCTCATTGTCCAATATTTCATAGTCTTTTATACTTGAATCTGTTAGACCATCATCTTCGCCGTTATCTGTTGCATCTTTATTCTCATCCATTGCATCTCTCTCTTCTATTTTTTGATCTTCTAGTCTTCGAATCTAAAAGGAAATAATTGTATATTTATAATTAACCAGATGAATTAACGATTCTGATGAGACATTTCTCATGTAGAAGCTCATTACAAAGCACACAAAATTTTCTCTTCTGTCTTCCATAAACTGTAAGTTTGCAATTTTTACATTTTACTGCCATATTTCAAAATGTGCAGATTTGAAGTGTTAAATTTAGTATTTTAGAGCAGTGAAGCATATATAGACAATCCCATTGTAGCTGTGTAAAAGCTTTTCAAATTCACTCATGATATCACAGTAGAAAAATGATTAACTTGATATAAAGAGTAAACAGAGCGTTTGTATGTTCTCTGTCAGAAAGAGTCAGCGAATGTATTAGAGAATGATTATGTGTCACGTCAGGGGCGTTTAACTCAGTCGTACATCGATGTTGTCCTAGTTGATTTGATGTCAGGTCATAAATAGCTAAAAAAAAAGAAATAATACGTGCCACCACGGATGAGCACAGTCAAACGCCCAGTTAAGTGACGCTAGCAAGGTATAAAAGGGAGTGAATGTAACAGAACGGTGTGAGAGAACAGGGAATAGTAACTGGTATAGTTTTAATAGATAAATAATATGAAAAAAATCTTTGTATTTCATTTCTTTTTACAGAGAAATATTTCCATATAAATAAAACTGATTATTACAATAATGAAAATAGATATAAGAGAATACTCTTTGCTGCCCACAATTCAGTAAAAACTCAGAGTGATGACAAAATTAACAGTATTATAAAATCATTTGAAAAAGGTTATAAAATTGTTGAAAATCTCTCTAAAGCAACTTATATGCCAACCAATATGCTCAGCTGAGACGACATTTGATAAAATCGTTAATGTTTTCGACGAAAATAAAAATCTACTTAAAATGGAGCATTCCTCAATCTTTCCTGGGTAAAGAATGAAGATTTGTTGAGCAATACGCTAATTCCTGTTCTTGAAATCTATTCCAACTTTCATAGTGAACATGTCAATATCCCTTACTGGATTTTGGAATTTCTGTGTTCTCTTTTTGAATCATTTAGTGATAATTTTGAAACGAATCTTTATGGTTTTTTCGGAAATTCCAACTATTATCATTATTTAAAAGCTATTGTCGAAGTAAATAAGATTAGCCAAGGGTCACATGACCAAAGTTTTATTCAATCAATCAAACTCTGGATAGTACTATTAGAAGAATATGAACAATTTCAGGAAATGGTTGCTGATGGACTCAATAAAACAGAAATTGTATCTTTTATTGAAATCCGTTTAAAAAAAATAAAAAATGAATATGGAATGTTTTAGACAACCTTATTGGATCCATTTTCTATTTATTACTATTACTTAGATTACAGCTTTACAGAAGACCATATGAAAATGGTGGCCATTACACTTGTATAGTCTGAAAGTATTGTTGAATTCAATGAGAGAATGAGTTTCAGTCACCACTCAGCAGAAGTTAGTCAGTTAATATTTAAAATTATTAAAAATACTGGTCGAAAATGATTGGAGAAAACTGATAAATGTTGAAAAGGAATTCGAAAATCTTATAATTCAATTACATGATACAAACGTAATGAAAAATCTTGAAAAAATGTATATTTAGATTAAATCATCTTTTTATAGTTTGGACAATAAACCATCACAATGTTAAGTTTAAAGGCAAGTTTACCATTTAATGAAATACACAAATAAAATTTCATTGAGTAGTTTTATGAAATATTTTTTTTAGTATAGGAAACAATCGGATGTGACAGAAAACATTCTCAACAGATTGGAATACTAAAAGAGCTTGAACTAGTAGACTTTTATCAAAATTACCAATTGGCCATTGAAATAGAATTTCCTTTTCCCTTTTAAGAATAAACTGGTGTAAGAAAGTTAAAAAAAAATCTGTCATGATGATTGAATTTTTTTGTACAATAATTTAATTGTCCAATAACAATACTAGAAAGAAGGATATGTTCTTTTTTCAATTGGCTATTAGTAATTAAGAATGAAATTTTTTATAAAGATAGATTAACACGAATTTTTAAAGTCTGAAAAATACTTTATATGAGAATGGTGTGATTTCCAATTTCTGCTTTTTACTATAATAAAGAAAATGCCAGACTTCCAAAAGAATGGGTTTTTAATAATTTCAATAGTACTATGTAAAGATTTTTGTTCAATTTTGTCAAATATGTTGAAATTTGATGGAGAATTATCATTAAAAAGAATAAATGGTGGAAGAAATTTTATTAGAGGAGTTTTACAGACAAAAGATTTCAATGATAATTTAACTTATATCATTAAATATAATAAATATAATTTGAATTTTACAAATTTAATTTGCGAAGAGTTAGGTTATGATTCTTTCTATTCTATTTCGAGTAAATGGTTCTTAAATCGGACAAGAAGAATTGAATATGTCTCTATGACTGTAGAGGATAATTGCTGTCAAATGTTAGTTCAATAGTCTGACGATTGTTTATACAAGAGAACAAAACAATTTTGCGAATATTCTTTCTCTCTTAATCCAAAAACTTAATATCAAAAAATAATTTTATTTTTTTTAAGAAACTTTCACAAAGAATCAAATGAACAAAATGAAAATACAGTAGCCGCATTGTTATTAAATTGTTTCACTAAGACCAGCAAATGTTTGTTGACTAGTGGTTAAACCTATAAAAGTAGATTATTAGCTATTTATATCTATAGATATCTTCAGTAGAAAAATGATGACTAATTATTACATTATGTATTTAAGAAGAAATGACTCATTCCATGAAATTTATAGTCATGAAAAATTTAGAAAAGATTTATGTAAAAACAGTGAATTTATTATTGATAGTAAAGATATAAAAATTAAGAAATCTGTTGCTAATGCTATTCTTTCTATTCAAAACAATTCAATTATTTTAAAATTGAATAATATGATAGATTCTGTTCAAATGCATTGTTCCTATTTGGAATTGAATGGTTATACAAAATCAATTTTTTGACCAAATTTTTACTTATTTATTCATATAAAGCAGATCTTAAAGTTATAAAGATAATTTCAAATTTGTCATTGGGCTTTCAATATCTTCATTCTTTTGATTACCAAGACACAGATTACTTTTTCCTGTCAAAAACATATGGAATTTTCCCTCTTAATTTTTACCATACTATAGAAATCACAAATGATTGCTATTCTGTTTGCTACCTTGCTTCAATGGAGCCTGATCCACCTCCGAATAATTGCCATTACACCTTTGTACACGAGAGTAGAGTTAGAGGCTTATTACAATAAATTCAAATACATAGTACTGATAACCAATTTTTTTGGAAGGCCTCTTCTATTTTCAAAAATAAGTAACAGTCTGTTTAATAAAAAACTTTAACTGCCTTAATAAAGTGAACTAGGTTCTAGACAATTAGTAATTGAATGGAGGAAGGTTAAGACATCCATGAATGAAATTTCTAGCATATTAAATAATTGTCATGTTTTACTAGACTTGTAGTATTGTTCTAGAAAATAAAAATCATAATTATTACAGGATTTAGAGTGGCTAATAATAAAAATATGTTATTGGTACTGTATAAATTGTTGCATATAACAAACTCTCTGCTGTTTTCAGGAATATTTAGTACTTTCGGGCTGTAATTTTTATGGAGACACAGTAGAAAATTGTTTTCTAGAATATGAAAAGAATAGGG